AAGCCACGCAGACATGACTCCTCCACTTTTTGCAGCAGAAACCAGGGCAAGGGGAAGTCTTCCAGATCATACCAACCTCAACGTGACCGTTCCCAAGGAGTGTGCAGTGACCGCAAGGCCAAGCATTTAATTGACAGACACCAACAATTAGGACCTCCTACCCCCAGTTGATCCCAGTGTTGAGACCTCTGTAGGGGGAGAATTGGACAATACTGACAAAATTGGGAAATCTTTGGGGATGCATACGTTCTAAACATTCTGCACCAAGGGTATCAACTCACTCTGAGAGACAACCAACCCCGATGTTGTGACCCATAGTAGATGCTTACCCCACTCAACAGCAGCTACTGTGCTCCAACATTGACATACTGCTGGTCAAAGAGGCCATAGAGATTGTCCACTCCGTAGCCTTAACACCAGGTTTCTATTCACCAATATTCCTTGTCCCCATGAAGGACTCAACCAATTCTGAATGACACACAATCTAGCCTCATTCAACAAGCTCAACCTGGCAGGTCCTTCGTACATCCGGATGACCATGCTCTGGCTGCTCAGGTCCAAGATACAGGCTCACAACTCACTGATCAGCCTCAGAAATTCTTTGATTGATTGTGGATTCCATCTTTCCATCAGTGGGCAGTGCTCTCATTTGGAATTTCCTCAGCCCCATGGCTATTTACATGCATCACCAAGCTGATAGCCACCTTCCTCCATCTGATGAATATCCAGTTCGAGCATATATAGACGGATTTACATGCATCACCAAGCTGATAGCCACCTTCCTCCATCTGATGAATATCCAGTTTGAGGCGTATATAGACGGATTTACATGCATCACCAAGCTGATAGCCACCTTCCTCCATCTGATGAATATCCAGTTCGAGCGTATATAGACGGATTTACATGCATCACCAAGCTGATAGCCACCTTCCTCCATCTGATGAATATCCAGTTCGAGGCGTATATAGATGACTGCCTCCTGAACAACCTGGACAGGGACACGCTCCTTCATCACGGGGACTTCACACGTCTCCTACATCAATTATGATGAATAATCAACGTGCAGAAATCGGGACTCACACCCTCGTTCAATCTCCATTTCATTGGAGGCCTGCTCCAAACCAACTGAGACCTCCTCCCTGTACCAAGGGAAGGTGGCCCTGAATACAACTCCACCTACTTCCTGCGTTTCACCAACCCCCCACTCTGGCAAGTGCTCTTAGGTCTCCTCACATCAGTACAGGATCTGAACTCCAGAAGGAGGCTTCAACTGTGCCCCATACAAATGTTCCTTGCTAAGTACATCAGGCACCAAGATCAGTTCATATTCATCGTCCTCCTGGACCATATCAAACCACACCTTCAATGGTGAATGGTAGAATCGAATGTCTCCTTGCCAGAGCTTATGACCTTGTTACACCTATTCGATGAGGTCAAGTCGCTTCAGGGCTGTAGTCTGCCGCTCAACAACAGTGGCAAATTAACAACCTCAAACTAGAGGCGCTCATACTGGCTCTTTCTCACTGGAAACAGACACTCCTTCACGCTCAGATCGCCATATCAACGGAAAACATCACCGTTGTCTGGTGCCTCCACAATCCCGGATGACCCACTCCCACTCACTCCTACAACAAACATTCCGGTTCTTCCGCCTAGACGATCAATTGAAATTCCAGTTTCAGGTCCAACACATCCCAGGTTGTAGCGACATTCTTGTGACCGCCCTCTCCAGAACAGACAAGATAGCTCCCACAGAGTGGAAACTCCTTCTGGATGCCTAGGCTATTGTCTGTCAGAGCCTCAGCCACCCCAACATGGACCTGTTTGCAACCAGCCAGAACTACCAGGTCCGGACCTTCATATCACTGGTACCAGACCCACAGGCTTTGGCAGTCATTGCTTTCAATGTCGCCTAGGAAGCATTTAAAGTGTACCCTTTTCCCCGCCAGTACTCCTTCCGAGAGTCCTTCAGAAGATCAGATCGACCTAGAGTTTGGTCGCGCTTTGGTGACTGGCAAAACTCCCAAGACTGGCAAATCTGCTGATCAAACCTCAAAGCAAATGGCTCCATCAGACTCCAGACAGGGCTAGAGGCCGAATTTCTTCTGTTTTTGTGCCACAAGCGTCATCTGAAGGGTAAGCACCATCACAACCTACCTTGTGGCCCTCAACTCTGTCTTGGCAGTTCAAGAAGATTGGAAAATGACTAAGATCCTGGAACTTCCATCTTTTCTTCGCTCCTACCGACTGGTAGACCAAAAGGCTAAGTTTCGACCCCTAGCGTGGGATCTGAACGTGGTCCTTACACTAAGAGAGGCACGCCATACTACTCCATTCGGTGTTGTATTATAACCTCACTAAAAAGAGGGTCTTCCTATTGGCTCTAGCTTCAGTGCCACGAGTATGCAAACTCAATGCACTAGATGTTACATGTGTCTGTTTTGAGCAAGGAGTGCATGGAGCTGTTCATCTTAGGACTGTGCTGTGCTGGGACTTCATAGCCAAGAATCAATTCCCAGGACAGCCCGACAGATCCTTCCTCATTCCGCTCCGGGGCCTGAGGATGAACAGGAAGTCCTACTATGTCCAGTAAGGGTGCTGCAATGTTTATTAGATGCTCCAAGAATAGACGTGGACAATGTCACCGCCTCTTCATACTGGTATCGACGACACCACAGGTTGAAGTCAGCCACAACACAATCACCCTCTGCATACAAATGTAAAAAATATTTAGATTTTACTAAATTTCACTTCAAGGTCATAGCTATGACATATTGAAGGTTGAAGAAAAGATATGTGATGTGACACTAGGTTTTGGTGACCTTGACCGCAGACTCCACAGACACCAGTCGGTTTTGGTGACCTTGACCCCATTTTCAAGGTCACAGCAGGCAAATCTGCTTTTGGAGTTGGAAAACAGTGTTGCCGTGATATCTCAAGAACTAATCCCAGGATTGTCTTCATATTTGGAACTATGGTGTATATACAGACACCGCAGACACCAGTCGGTTTTGGTGACCTTGACCCCATTTTCAAGGTCACAGCAGGCAAATCTGCTTTTGGAGTTGGAAAACGGTGTTGCCGCGATATCTCAAGAACTAATCGCAGGATTGTCTTCATATTTGGAACTATGGTGTATATACAGACACCGCAGACACCAGTCGGTTTTGGTGACCTTGACCCCATTTTCCAAGGTCACAGCAGGCAAATCTGCTTTTGGAGTTGGAAAACGGTGTTGCCGCGATATCTCAAGAACTAATCGCAGGATTGTCTTAATATTTGGAACTATGGTGTATATACAGACACCGCAGACACCAGTCAGTTTTGGTGACCTTGACCCAATTTTCAAGGTCACAGCAGGCAAATCTGGTTTTGGAGTTGGAAAACGGTGTTGCCGCGATATCTCAAGAACTAATCGCTGGATTGTCTTCATATTTGGTACTATGGTGTATATACAGGCGGGGGACATTTCATCACTTTGTGACAAATACTTGTTTAATAACATATTAAATCAAGTAATATCACACAAGACCTTGTAAAATACTTCTAGTGAATATATAACATACACAAGTTACTGAAAAAAAGACATGTTTATAGATTCATCATTCATTCATCAGTAACACACCTTTCATGTTTATTAGTTTGAAGTAGGGCTCAACATGTGGGTGAAAATTTATACAACAATACAAAATCTCAACATTATGCATCTGGTAAAACCATAGATTTGGCAGATAAGATTTGATTTATTATTTTTGTAAATACCTATTTCAGCTGATACCAGAACAGTGGAGGTACAGGTTTCTAAAATGTTTGTAAAAATGTGTTTTAAAAAGTGTCACCAAGCACAACTGAACTAAACAATAAGCTGAAATCTATAAACATAGGAATATATTACTGATGAACCCTTTTCTTTGTTCTGTATATAAATATGATTAACTTTAATATGCCCATTATTTCTGCCTTTCTGGCTTCTCCAGAAGAGGAGCCGTTTGGGTCATTTGAATTTGTTGTAATGGAATATTGTGAGAAGAGGATCTTGTAACAGGCATGTGCAAGCTATTATGGATCTGTTGTTCAAAACCTTCCAAATGGCTTGCTGGTTTTTGTGGGGAATTACTCAGCAAAGAGCCAGAGTCACAAGCAACTAATTACAATTCTATTTACAAGAACAGAATGAACAAAATCTTAAATATCGCTGGGGATGCCACAGAAAGTCTGTACAATCCTCTGGACCATGGGTGAGAGGTCTCCATAGTCTGAGCGTCAAACCCCTACTGCATAACATCTTGCTTCTGTATGTATGTAACTAAAATTAGAACAATAAAAGGAATATGTTAAGACACAATGGGGTGTGGGCTTTTGTCTTATTGAATAGTATGTCTGGGAGATGGGTTCTTGTTACCTTAGGCTAGTATTTATCTAAAAGTTATTACTAAAACTAATATTTTGTATCTGCATTTTCCCTGGCTCCTAATATATATTACTTGCCGTTCTATAATTATATGATTTTTTTTTAAATGTTACACCATGATAACTTATAAAAGCACTTGCTGTGGATAAAACTTAGTATAAATGTTACACCATGATAATTCAATAAGATGGCTGTGGCATAGTAAATGTTGAGATTTACATTTGGCTCTTGTTAGGTGAGCTGAAGTAAGTCACTGGTACCAACATACTGCAGCACCACGGCACAGAATCAGTCAGGGTGCTATGACCATACACTCATGAGAGGCTAATAACATACTGGAGCCAGAAAGTATAATCCCTGCACATGGACATTGAATGAACAATAGACAATCAAATAGCAAAATATGCACACCAGTAAAAAGGTGCAACATCTACAATACAAAAGAGAATTTCCTTAGAATGCCTTCTTTATCTTCTTATTATACAAAAATAGAATTACACATATCTGTTGGGTTTGTATCCATGTCAAGGTGTACATTACCATAGGAATTCTTGCCGTTCTGACAAAATAAATTTTCTTTGTTTTGCAGGTCTGATTGTGACAGTATGTAGCGCTCTTATTCCAGATGAGGTGAGTTAGATAATTAAGTGAATAGAGTAAGCACACACCGTTGAATAGAAATCAAGCATGACATTGCCTGTGCATGGGGAAAGTGTCTTCCTCTGGTTCATATGTGACTGAACAATTATTATCTGGTCTTGTCTTATGGTATTTGTTTTACCAGATCAGTTTTACATGAATCAAAGTTAGTCACTGTCATATCTTTGCTTTTGCACATTTGAGTTTCCACATGTTCATGCGAGCTTAACTGTGCCATGTACAGTTGGGTGGCTTGATGAAACTTACATTTGGTGTATAAGATCCCACCAAAGGTGTCTCCAATACATGTTCACATAATTCAATTTTAAAATGTACCCATTCAATCATTATGAAATTTGATTTGAAGTAAGTACGAGGGGTGACTGAAAAGTTCTGAGCCTAACTGCAAAGGATATAGAGTACACCCTTAACCGTTTGCATGTATAAAGTGCAATATTTTCCGTGCCTACAGGCTGCACTTGAACCAATACACAACCAGGCAGCATAAGTCTACAAGAAGTCATCCCACTTGATCAAATTTTTAAACCCAAAGTACCAAAAATCAATTAAGTCACATGGCAATGCATCCATAGTGACATCTTGTTATTTAGGTCTTGTGGGAATGGGTTGTTAAATGGGCGAAGTCAATTCATTCTCATTTGAGGGGTGATCAGGTTCAAAATCAATTCAAAGAGCAAACTTTCATGTTTGAAGAGAATTGCAAACTTTGTTTGATAGTTTATTACATGATATGTACATGTACAACAATAAGAATATCAATTCATATCAACAAATAAATATATTAATATCAATGATAAATACCATTGTCACCACAATTATGACTTGTAACCATATGTTTATCCATATATACTTGTACATCAATAAACACAGACTCTATAATGTTAAATATCACATTCCTAGATCATAGTCTCATGGTCTCTCACATTCACACTCTCACATTCACACTCTGCTGGGCCAATCTCACCTCAGCTTTTGACTGTTCACTTTTGATTAGTCTAACAAAGTCAAATATGTTTGGATGGCATTTGGACATTGAATGAAGCTTGTACTGCCAAACCCTCTACGTTGTTGTTCCTACTGTGCCCATTATTGGCAAAATGGTTTCAGTTACGTTTGTCCCACACTGCGCTCTCCACCCAGGTCATTCACTCCATGAATCGAGTAACAGCTTCTTCTCGAAGACTGTCACTATGGCATCCAACAACGCTTTGTCTTCCTGGTCCAGTGGAACAAGAGGAAGGGCCTTCGCTGTGGCTGCTAGTTAGCGTAACTCTGGGTCCTCCTTGTATAGCGACACAAGTCCTAAATGTTGCATCCTTCTCCATATTGTGAGAAATAGCATCCGCGGATCTGTACTCTGTCGAACACAGCAGATGCAGCATGTGCAGCAGCCTTCTCAAAGTCATTCTGAAACACTTGTGGTTGGAGAAGTAGACAGTGTTGCTCTGCTTCTTGTTGAATCAGCTCAAATGTCCTGGTGTTGGTCGCCTTGGTCTTGTTTCAGGGCAGACAGTAAACAAGTTGGTACATTAATTTTAGTCCTTGTATCTTCGTGTGGAGAGTGTAGACTTGCAGAAAGAGTTTGGAAGAGGAATAGAATGTTCCATCAGCTTATACTACATCAGCATCGCAGAAGTGTTCAAGTTTTTCTCTTGTGGTGAAGAGGAGAATCTTTTACTTGTTGTCGCCCTCCAGTTCAATAGACTGTCTTGTCTTAGGTGACTTTGGATGAGTTTTTTGCCTCTCTCTACATCAGGGATTGCGTTGGTATCAGATCAGCATTCTTCCTTTGGACGGACAGCTCATCGTCAGTGATGGTAGGGATGGGCATAGTCTGTTCTCGACCTCTACTGTAGTCTCGCCTTGAACACATCAACATCATGGATGAGGGGTAGAAGTTCATGGTTGTGTGCGGTTGGTCCAACTTTCAGCAGAAGATTATTGGAGGTCTGGATTGTTCCTCAGCAGTGCTGAACTGTGCATCTCCAATATGTTGTGTCATCTTTCTGCCTGTTATCCTTGAACTTTTTGCTAGCTTGGAAAGCAGATCTACCTCCGCGTATATTCAGTAAATATCTGACAGCAGCAAGTGCATTCACCATTGTGACAATGATATGACCATGACTGTTGTTTTTGTTGCTTTAGGTGATTAAGAGGTCGCCCTCTGCTGTAGCTGACCTTCCCCTCTTTGGGAATCGTGTGTGAGTAGGGTACACACCTCTATTGTGAGTTTTTAGTATTTATTATTCCCCGCCACGAAGTGGAAGGGGGATATAGGAATGGGTGCCGTCCGTCCGTCCTTCCGTCACATTTCGTTTCCGGAGCAGATCTTGAAAACCGTACTATATTCCTTCACCAAACTTGGCACATAGATAGATCTAGTGGTTAACTGGTGCCTTTTGATAGTTTGGGATTTAAAAAAAAATTTTTTTTCGAGATTCCATGGCAACGACTTTGATTTAGACTGAAAATGGTGGTAGTCCTCGTTTCCGGAGCAGATCTTGAAAACCGTACCATATTTCTTCACCATACTTGGCACATAGATAGATCTAGTGGTGAACTGGTGCCTTTTGATAGTTTGGGATTTAAAAAAAAGTTATTTTTCGAGATTCCATGGCAACGACTTTGATTTAGACTGAAAATGGCGGTAGTCCTCGTTTCCGGAGCAGATCTTGAAAACCGTACCATATTTCTTTGTCATACTTGGCACATAGATAGATCTAGTGGTGAACTGGTGCATTTTTATAGTTTGGGATTTTAAAAAAAGTTATTTTTTGAGTTTCCATGGCAACGACTTTGATTTAGACTGAAAATGGCGGTAGTCCTCGTTTCCGGAGCAGATCTTGAAAACTGTACCATATTTCTTCATCATACTTGGCACATATATAGGTCTAGTGGTGAACTGGTGCCTTTTGATAGTTTGGGATTTTTAAAAACAATATTTTTTTAGTTTCCATGGCAATGACTTTGATTTAGACTGAAAATGGCGGTAGTCCTCGTTTCCGGAGCAGATCTTGAAAACCGTACCATATTTCTTTGTCATACTTGGCACATTGATAGGTCTAGTGGTGAACTGGTGCCTTTTGATAGTTTGGGATTTTTTAAAAAGTTATTTTTGAGTTTCCATGGCAACGACTTTGATTTAGACTGAAAATGGTGGTAATCCTCGTTTCCCGAGCAGATCTTGAAAACCGTACCATATTTCTTCACCATACTTGGCACATAGATAGATCTAGTGGTGAACTGGTGCCTTTTGATAGTTTGGGATTTAAAAAAAAAAGTTATTTTTCGAGTTTCCATGGCAACGACTTTGATTTAGACTGAAAATGGCGGTAGTCCTCGTTTCCGGAGCAGATCTTGTAAACTGTGCCATATTTCTTCACCATATTTTGCACATTGATAGGTCTAGTGGTGAACTGGTGCCTTTGGATAGTTTTTTTTGTTTTTTTTAAAGTTATTTTTCGAGTTTCCATGGCAATGACTTTGATTTAGACTGAAAATGGCGGTAGTCCTCGTTTCCGGAGCAGATCTTGAAAAACATACTATATTTCTTTACAAAAAGGCCCAGTGAACATAGTTCACAGGAGCTAATGCATTGCACACAACCGACATGTCATATTGGCGGGGGATGTGAGTATTTCATGCTTGTTATATTCTGTTTTTGTATTGATAGGATTTTTTTTTTTGATTTTTTTTCTATGATTTCATTTTTTTATCTTATGCTGCTTTGTGTATATATACATACATTTATACTGTTTTATTTATAAATCCTTACTTCTCAGTTCAATGGAGAAGGAAATAAAAAATCTTAATTCTAGTCAAAGAGTTGGGGCACTGTAGTTGTCCAGGGTAAAATAAATTCATATGAAAGGTTTATTTAAGTTTTCAATTTAACCTGCTTAAGCTGAGTAGAGTTGATTAATTTAGCATTCCCTGAAATTAGCCCTTTTTCCCCAATTGAGTCTCATGTGGCCTCTTCCAAAGTATCGATACACCTCAGTGTACTTGTGCTTTAGATCATCTGGGATCAGATTTACTCTTGTGTTTATAGATCATCTGGGAATAGTTTAGTTCATAAATTAGATTATGAGGGCCAAATCCTGCAGGCCTCAAAGTGAATAAATATTCTCAGTTGATGAAAATGGACAAAATTGCCTACAGGCAATGACTCCAACAGCCATCCATGCAGACATGGTGTCAACTTAAGGGTATGATGGTCCTTCCTTGCCACTGTTGAGGGGCAGTTAGCAGAGTAAAGAGAGGAAGAGAGCCTTCACGACAATCCAAGATGAGGAAGACCTTCAACTTCCACTACAATAGAAAATGTTGATAATTAGATGAGATGATTATGGATGATCAATGACTCACTTCACATCACATGACTAATACACTATGCATCTCTTACTAGAGAGTTGAAAACATTCTGAGGATTGAACTGGCCATGACAAAGGTTTCAGCATGCTGGGTTCTAAGGCTTCTGACACATGTTTAGAAACTTTACAGGTTCTCTCATGAGCTTTGAAGCAGACTCAGCTCATATTTTGTATGATTTGTAACCATGGATGATTCTTGAGTTCACCACTTACATCCAGAGACAAAACAACAAACAGAGTGGAAACATCTAACATCTCCTCTGAAGAAGAAGGCAAGGTCTGTTCCATCAGCTGACAAGATTTTCGGGGATACCAGAGGAATCCCACTTGTGGGCTATATCTTAAAAGGTCAAACCACTATTGGCCAATATTATGCTTTCTTATAATCTGCTCAGGCAACTGTGTGAGAATATCAAGGCTAAACGTTGAAAACTCACTGAGGGTGTTTTTCCCCATTTTGCAGGTAATGATTACCTAATTTCTTTTGGCCCTCTGACGTTATCTTCAGGTGTCTCAGCAACATCGCAAGCAGCGCCAGAGGCTGTTCATCCCTCTTTCCAGCCGTAGCTCTGCAGAGATCTCTCGTAATAGAGTCTCCCTTTGGCTTCATTCTGTAATCCTGAGGGCTTATCGTCGTGCTGACTTACAACCACCTACAGCCTCCAATCCACACGAGATCCGTGCCCTGTCTTCTTCGCTGGCCCTCCATGCTAACGTCTCCGTCTGATCAATCATGGAGGGGTGCTTCTTGTCATCTACTTCTGTCCTCGCCAGCCAATATCTTCGCAACATATCGATGGAAGACATCGAGGGTACGCATAGCTTTGGCCCACTTGTCCTTGCCCAGCAGCTGACCCCCACCGCCATTGACCGTGCCCGTGCCGATGCCGATGCCGAGGAACATGGCTGTCTGCGGCCCCACTGGCCCCGCCGACGCCTATTGAGAAGGTAGGACCATCCCTTGTACTGTTCCTCTTGGGTTGCTGGGTACTGTTCTGTCGGTACCTTGTAAAGTTTTGGTCCCGTATTTCCACCTCTTTTTTGAGCCGGTCACGGAATACCTTACTTTTACCCTCTGTCAAGCATTGTTCTCTCTACCATTCAGACAACCATTCTGTTCCGAGAGGGCTTGACTGCATCTTGCCTGCCGTCCCGGGAGCCGCTACTTGCTGACGCCTGCTGAGCTTCCTGCTGGACGGTTTTTATTGTGCTTCTTCCATGTGCCTGGCGCTTTTCACGGTAAGCCCGCCTTCCATCAATCGAATATAGCACTGTGTAGCGTCAGGTAAGGTAAAACATGAGCATTTCTGATTAAATGCAATGTTTTTATACTTACCTGACGCTACACCTATAGGCCCACCCGTCCTCCTCCTCCGCCTTACCGTTGGCGCCACTGTGTACTCTACGTCTGATGTCATCAACTGAAGAATATGAGGAGTAGGGCCCAAGGGGGATAACTCGTGGATACCTGGGCACGGACTGTATTCTGTCTGAACCTGTCTCTTCATTCCAGTACTGTCTGTTTGTATAAGGTAGGGAAGCTTTATCACTGTGTAGCGTCAGGTAAGCATAATGACATTGCATTTAATCAGAAATGCTCATGTTTGACATTTTTCAGAAATATATTTGTTGATTTTATTTTTTACTTGTAATAACAATTTGCTTGAAACATCTTTTATTGCTCTTTGACATGTTCTATTTAGAGCAGTTGTTGAAGCATGCGAACGGGAAGGTTCATGAAGCATTATATTATTTTCATGTGACTGCAGTGTGGCCGGTACACCGGCCTGTGGTGTTGAAAGAGTTATTGAGCAGAGTACTCTGAAGCTGGACCCTGTTTCACCAATCAATCTCAGTGTTATGATTCACTTACCAGGGCCTGCTGAATTATAAAACTATCAGTCAGAGAACAAATTTGTCTTTACACAAGTTGGATCCAGGCACTCCATCATCACTGGCAGAAGTGTGTGGACCTCAGCAGGGATTATTTTGAAAAATAATTACCAACTCCATCAACACATTATTTGCTTATGCTCAGAAATGTTCTCCCTCCTCTCATTTTTCACAATTTTCGGTATTTAATTGTGAATCTATAACTAGCTTATCAGAGGATTTTTGACATAGCCTGCAGCTGTGGCAATAACTAGATCTTGGTCTCTCGTGTGATTCAATAAATGTTTGATAATTTTTCAACCTTTGTAAAACAAGTGATTTTTACCCATCTACATGGATGTATCAATGTGTGTAGTTTCATGAACATCAGTAAGGATGTCCCTACATACATCCAATAACGTTAAACTTTGAACGTTGAACTACTGAACGTGTCAATATCATATTTCTATACCATTTTCTTTAAGTGTCTGGCTGAAACTTTCTGATATATATGTTTCATTTATTTGTATTTAATGGAAACTCACAATGTCCATTGCTGCAACATGTTGAGTAAAGAATACAGCCTTCATGCCAACATCATATTGGGTATACAAAATGTTTAGAGGACATGCATAAGATCTTTCTTTTAAATGAAGTATGGTCCACCAATGAATCCTCTATTTCTCCTGGGCTCAACATGGCAACCAGTCCCACTGAATATGATAGAGTTTGCAAAAATACTTTGAAAAACTGACTGGATGGCAAGGATGTCTCTATATCCATTAAAACTGCTAGTGGCTTTGGTTTCTAGGTAATACGAGTAACCACCCTTACCCATTTCCTTTTTCTTTACCTTGACATTTGATTTGTCAGTAACACGTTAATGTAAATCAAGGGTGGGTAATGTGAGACCGCAAGAACTACAGGAATGGATCTGGGGCTTAGTGTTGGTTTACCAAAATGAGACCCTGGAGATATAAAGGTTGCCACCAATGATGACACCTGAATTGATTCTAATGTGAACACCATAATAATAACAACAAGCAGCTGAATCCCTTTGCTTTTTGGTATGCAAGATCTACTGTTATTTGTTTCATTTTCTTTCAAGCTAGCAGATGGATTTGATATATGGCATTAATTTTCTGAAATTTTAGGCTTACGCATCAGGGTGTATGTTTTATTGATTTGGTGACGCATTAATATTATGATTTGCATTATGTGATTGAAATAGATTTGGAAACAGAGCCAATAAAAACAAGTAGATCTTTGTTTCTCATATGAATGATAATTAAACTATGTATTAAATCCTTCTATCTCTTATCATCTCAAACTGTAGTTGCTATCAACAGTTCACCAGACACACGTGTAGCTGTGATGGTAACAAATATGATCTGCAGATACCTTCTAACAGCATAATTACTTTCTCTGCAGAATAAGTAATTCCTGGATAGAACATGGTATTAGTTCAGATAGGCTTCTTCCTAGTCTCTGTACATTTCTTCTTACAGCATGCTGTGTACTCACCTGAAAGGTTGATGAAAAACATTCTGGCTCACATTCACTACATGCCTAGTCATTGGAATGGCAATGCCCACACATACAAGGTGCGCGATGAGTTTGCTCTGCTCTTCCAGTATAAAGCCGTGAGTATATATTTTGTTGTCTGTTGTGTTTTTATGTTCATGACACAGTCTGTACTGTGGTGTATCAAATGTGCTCTTATGACATATTTTCAGTGACCTAATGCTGAAATGCGTCGAAAAAAATGAGCTGAGAATTATAGACAATAGTGTTTGACATAAAACTAAAACTACATGAATACATGATAGGGCATTTACAACATCACTACATTGTAACCCAGTTGCATGAAATAAGACAGGTGTTAAAGGGTGATGATGCTCTACTGTTTGATGGCCATTTCCGGTAAAGGTTTATACATTGTAGGTAGTGCCATGTGTGAAATTGAAACACATTTATGTGTTATTATAGTAATAATCTATGTCTAGCTACTCAACATGAATCAATTTGACAAAAAAAATTAACGACTTCACTTGAATTTGCTTGTACTGATAACTGGCCCAGGCCCCATTTTAAAGTTTCCATCCATAGTCTAAAATATCAACACTACTATCACAAGGAAATGATGATGTTTTTATTAAGAAAAAGGTTCTATCAATATGTGACTGGCACTTTAAAATTTTGAAAATTAAATGCAATTGAATGAAATGCAGTGATCAACATGTTCACACTTCCATACATGTGCATCTGTAGTCATAATGCACCCCGGGTCCTACTATTTAACGGGACGCCCGGGAACGTCCGGAAATGTCCAGGAGGTTTCATCAGACGTCCGGAAACGTCCGGGAGGTTTCATCAGACGTCCGGGGATTTAAAAATACAGTGCAGTCAATAAAACATGTCTTTCTCAGTTTGGTAAGATCCTGAGAATATCAACTGGCGTACAAATAAATAGAATAAAAAAATAAAAACAAACAAAAATGAGTACAAGTAACAGGGTAAAAAATATTTAATAGGCTGTAAAGGTTTTGTTCTTTATCCAACAAGGCGGACGTAAAAGTAAAAACAGACAATGTAAAAAATGTTTGTTTGTTTGTTGTTTAACGCCACAGTCAGCAATATTCCAGCTATATGACGGCAGTCTGTAAATAATCGAGTCTGGACCAGACAATCCAGTGATTGACATCATGAGCATCGATCCACGCAATTGGGATACGATGACATGCATCAAAACCAAGTCAGCGAGCCTGACCACCCAACCCTGTTAGTCGACTCTTACCACAAGCATAGTCGCCTCTTACGGCAAGCATGGGTTGCTGAAGACCAATTCTAACCCACATACTTATTTACAATACATAAGATGTTTAATAAATAATAATCAATGTTCATCATATCTATCTATCCTACTTTCCTACAGTACATGAATTATTTTGTTGAAAATACTACTTTCTTAGAAAGTGAATGTCTTTGCTGTTTTAATCCTCTTTCGTTGTTCTGGTTTTCGGGCTGTCTGTGGTGTCTTGGGGATGTTGAGGCGACCATCCGACGAAACAGTAATGCCTTGTTGACATCTGGGGCCACGCAGGAACTTCCGAAAATGTCTGTCTTTCTCCTGTTGGCTTTTTGATGTGCAGCAGGCATTAGACAATTTAAAGCCTGCCATCCACGGTGTCAGTTGGTAGTTGCCTTGGCCGTAGAGGGGGCACAGCGCATGTCAGCATACTGGATTTTTACAATTGTGTGAAGTTTGTCAGTTAAATCTGGGATTTTCAATGATTTCAAATTGGTACTTAATTTGATGATGTTGTTCATGCTCTCACAGGCATTATTAGTCCAATGTAACGGAACTGCTTTTGGTCTTTCTTTTGAAGGCAGGAAAATGTCAGTTTTTATAGTTTTAATGACTTTAGAAAGGTAGGAATAGGAATCGGGAACAGTTGTTGAAACAATGTCTTCTAGTTCCATTTGATTTAGTTCGAACTGATAGGAGTCATGGCTATTCACCAGTCCGGAGGGTCCAAAATTTTTCTGATGAATGAGTCTTATCTGCTGATCTGCTGATTGTTCTCCCTGCTGCAGGTGCTTATTGTATACATCTCGTGCTGGCTGTGTCATCACCTCTTCTCTTATCTGCTCGATGACAGTGTCGGGCGTCCTCACAAACTCGGCGGTAGACTTTTTTGAATTTCCTTGAATGGCACAGGACTGTAAAATTGAAATAAAACAATTTGAGCGAACCTGTAATGTTAACTCTCAGCAGCATGAGTATACAGCTTGGATTCTATAATTCCCAGGGAGTTCAGACTGACGACAATGAACGCATACAGATCGTTTGATCGGGGGGAAACAGAAGCGCATTTGAGCAGTTATTGACTGGAAGACTACTATTTAGAATATATATATTTATATTTCATTCTTGACAAAATTATTACAGAGATTTGCAACCTTTACACACAAGAAATAGTCCTACCTCGGGAAACTTGCCAGTGAATTCGACAATAGCTACTTGTGGATGAACAGGAGCGTGGCCGGTGGGGAACTGTTCAATCCAAGTCACCTGCTTATGATAGTCTGCACATCGTTTCAGTTTGTTATAATAGCGTTTACCAATTAGGGCTTCGCTATTTGGCGGCTGAATTGCCATCGGTACTCTCATACTTTTTTTCATTACACAATACAGTCCTTCCTTTTGCTCTAAGTATGTAAATTTGCCATTGACAAAATGATAAAAATGTTTCTTTGTCGACCCCTTTCCCCACACACCACAATCATCTACAAATTTACTTCGACCGGACATCGATCTGTGGGATATATTCTGAGAGTTGTCACAGATAAATGTTTCGTTTTCTTTTATTCCTACAGGAATCTCTGACTGAATGTTTTTTGCATTGATTATTGTCTGAAACAACTCCGGTACGTCCATGAACCTTCCACTGTTGGATAGGGAACAGCGGACACTTGGCGATGAATCCTGTAGGGACAGCTCATCTTTACTTGGAGTGAGAGATGAATCCTCCATGGTGGACACAGGAGGCGCTATTATATCATAATTAATACAAGAACACAATTTTAAACTTCTCCTGGACGCTCTCACCAGATGCTCCCCGACCTTGCCCGGATGCTATAGTACCGGACGTTTTACACTCAGTGAGCCACGCATGAACTATTGAAAACGTCTGTCTTTCAGTATTAGTTATGGAATAGTATACAGAATGTGACACTATAAAAGAACATTATTTTTGTTCAATAAGCAAATTTAGAATGTATCCTTCAAAGCCCACGTTACGAATACCTCGTCAGTTCGAATAAAATCAAAGCGTATTTGCTTTGCAGATTCACCATTTAAAAAGAATAGAGGTGTATGTAATGTTTTTTCCAGCTATATGTTATTTTGTATAATTAATACAAGAACACAATTATAGAGAGTACACTTTATTATTTAGTATCATGCTTCCGGACGTTTCCGGACGTTCCGGACTGCCCCGGGCGTTATTTAGTATGACCATGCACCCCATGTACTTGGGGCAGCATGCTTAATAACATTGCTAAGTTTTGTGTGTCAAACAGGGATTTTTGGCGATTTGTCAGGTTGTGACTGGCAATGTTTTATAAAACACTTTTTTTATTCTGACTTTCAACTTCACTAGCTGTGTCAGAAATCTGTCTGTTCGCAACAAAAACAAACTGTTCAAAATCTGTAACATGGTGAATATCATTAGCATCTCTCTCCAGGACATCGGCAGTATTCATGAACAGCAAATACTTAATTAAGCAAATACAATATTAGGGGCACTTATCTCTGGCTTCTTCTTGGCTGTCTGACACTGGCCGCTAGGGCTCACCAGCCATCAAAGAATCAACAGAAAATATGTTGATTGATTAATCACTGTTATCTTGCACAGTGAATATGTCAAAAGTAAGTGTTTACATGTGTAGGTTTACTTAAGCAGACGGTATACACTCATATCATGGCTTGAAGTGCTGGTGTAAAAACAACATACTTTGTTCAAAGGGTTAGCTGATAATACGTTGATTGATTGCTCATTGTTATCTAACTCAATGGATTTTTTAAGAACCGTGGACATTATGAAAATAGTTGTCACGTGGGCTTTCTCAGGTGACCTTTGAGACTTGACACCAATGTGAAACAACTGAAACAATCTAAGTGATCAGTTGAGAAACGAACACGGGTTATAATATCCCGAAACGATATATATATTTTAAAATATTTGATTGTTACAGTGACACGTGACATCGAAAAAGTTTCTTAGTACAGCTGCAGATGTATGGGGTATTTTTCCTTTATGTGGATATTCGTGGATACATTCCTCTAGCTGCCTTAAATTAAACATACAACTTTGGTAGGTTGTAATTATGATGTTTGCATTTTGTTTTCATTCATTGCCTGTAGCATTGAACAGAATCATTCTTAATTCTCTACGATTTGGCTGGGAAGTGTTCTTTGATGCGCGATAGACGTTGTTTTCACAAGTCTTTTCCTTTCTAAGCGTGTGTATGTTACAGTCAATGTGTAAAATGTGATTCACTCAGGCAATTTATAAAATGTCTAAATATTTTGCAAATTGACTGAAAAATCTATCCATTTATTTAACAGACTGACTAAAAATGATTCAGACGTTCAAAAGGGCTTACAAACATCACAAAAGATTAATTATGCTAACATTATACACCAAACAATATAGAAATGTACGTTTAATCCTTACATTTTCAGTCAATTGGTGATGATATTAAACATAAAATATTTGTAATTCGTTATCATATTAATACAGATGGACATATTTTTCAGTCAATTTGTAAAATAACTGAATATTTAGGCATGAAATAAATTTCCTTAGTGAAAATTTTACACATTTTGACTGTAAAAATATACCATGGATAAAATAAGCAATGCTCAGGTGAAATATTTACTTTGTGTTGCATGTCTAAATAGTGAAAACGAGAATTGCACAATTACCAAGCAAGTGACTTATCAAAATTTTGCCAACATTACCAATGCTACCCACAAAGATACCTGCATTTCCTTATTATTTCCAAAACTGTTTTTAATTTTGTTGATTAATGTGACCATACGCCCTGATACTAACAATAAGAGTGACAAATGCGC